CTGCCTCGGCCCCCCGGGGAAGGGCTCCCGGCGGCCTCCGAGGGCCAAGCCGGAAACGTGGTCACGCATACGTGGGTGCAGCTTCCCGAGTGACCGGCAGCGCAAGCAAAGGCAACAGCAGGTCGGGCGGCGCAGGGCGCGGGCCAATCCCGGCCCCTCGGGACACCAGGAGCCGTCACATCGGGCAAAGCGCTGAGCGGCCCAGAGCGCGCGTGGGCGCGGGCGGCGCAGGGCGCGGGAGCAGTTGGGGCCCGGCATGCCGAGCGCCCCTCTGGTAGTCGCCGCCGCGTCCGCCCCGGGTGCGCGCCACTGACGGGCGGAGATGAAATTCCCGTGCTCGGTCCTGGCGTCCGTGTTCCTGTTCGTGGCCGAGACGTCGGTGGCCCTGTACCTGAGCAGCACCTACCGCTCGGGCGGGGATGGCATGTGGCAGGCGCTGACGCTGCTCTTCTCGCTGCTGCCCTGCGCTCTCGTGCAGCTCACGCTGCTCTTCGTGCACCGCGACTTCAGCCGCGACCGACCGCTAGTGCTGCTGCTGCATCTGCTGCAGCTCGGGCCCCTCTTCAGGTGCGTGTGGGGCCAGGGCCCGGCGGCGGGGGCAGCCGGGAGGAACTGGGGACTGCCCCGGGCCAGGCGTCTGGCCCAGGACGCGCGCTATGCGCCCCTCACCCCCGGGCGGGCCCCGGCGGCCGCGGGCCAGGGAGCATGAATCGGCTGTGGCCGGGGGACCGCGGTCCTGCTCAGCGCCCCAAGCCGAGACCGCCCGGATTCCACTGACCCCGCCAGCAGAAATGGCAATGCCGCTCGGTGCCACCTCACCCCAGGCAGGCGTCGCCTGCAGTCAGGTGGTTCCTGGCTGGATGGGTTTGTGTCCCCACACACCCTGGGGACCTGAGCTGGGAAGCGCTGTTACCGCAGCAGCGTGCACGGAGGATTTCATTTCAGTGCCAGATGCGGAGCATTGAGTGTGTGCCAGGCACGGCTTGGGCTCCACAGAGATTCATTATTGTAGTTCGTGCTCTTCGGACCTCTCTCTCCGGCTGCACGCATGGGGCTTTTTTCTTTGGGTGGAATCCTGCGGGGTCGTAGACAGATCCCCCAGTCCTCCCTCACTTCCAGCCACTGGGGCTGGAGCGCAACGTGTGCCATGCAGACAGAAAGTTGCCATGTGTTATGAAAAGAGAAGCCCTCAGTGGCATTTTGGGAAAGAAATGTATATTAGCCAAAGCACCCAGAAATATAAGGTCCTGAAGTAGATTTTGGCATATCTGAGGGCCATTCAGAAGTTTTGTTTTGATAGCTTTCATCTCTGTAGAAAAAGCAAAACAAAGGGTGTCTAAGGGTTCTAAATAAATGTGTAAGACTCAACTGTAGACATAGGCATAGAGGAAGAAATGCCAAGACAGAAAGGCCAGAGATGCAGCTCAGCTGCCTTTTCTACCATAAAATCTCAATCTCTCTCTCTGTCTCTTTGTCTTTTTACACATTGCACACACGCGCGCGCACACACACACACACTCACTCCAGTAAGTAGCAGGCTAGATTTACAAAGCCCTATTGTAAAGCTTACACTTCCTATTAAACACAGTAAATCCTAGTTGACACTCAGAATACTGACTTGGAGTTTACACAATGTTGAGGAACTTGGGGAACAGGTTTCTCAGCCTCCAGAAATTGAGGAATCCAAGAAGGGAAGAGAAACACACACTCTGAGGGGAGTAAGAAGTTGCTGAGAATATCCAGATAAGAAGGGAGGAGTTAGGGGCAAAAAGAGCCTGAAAGGGAATGAAGAAATACCACGTTCTGCAACCTGAAGCCATGCAGTGAGGACAGTTAGCTCTCCCTGTCTTAGTAGGCCACCCCAGATCTCCAGTATACTCTACCCAACCCTAGTAAGATCAGTGTGCCCTGACTTTAAGCAGGCACTCATTTCTTAACCTCATTGCTGAAAAGAAAACTCCTTGCTCATGATGTTTAAGTGACAGGAAGGGGAACTGACATTTCTGAAATGCTTCCTATGCTGGATGCTTCACTAGGTGTTCATATGCTTCTGTTCACTGAATCCTGACCACAAGGAGCTGTAACCGTCCCCATTTTAGACATGAGGAAAATGAGGCCAAGTTCACAAGATTTCTTGGAAGTGGAGTCTGGTTTCTTACTAGACAGTAGGCAGGGGAGAGTGGAATGCATTTTATCAATACATCTGTCTTAAATAAAGAGTTTGACCATTTTGCCAAAATTTATATAAATACCCAGGCAAATAACATTCTATCATTACTGCTATTTCAAATGTTTTTAAATACCAAGATAAAACTAATGACATAATAATGACAGGATGGCAAATATAAACCTGAGCTCAAGGAAATATGCCAGGATATTGAAAGTGATCATTTCAGGATGGTGGGGAAATGGGTAATTTTAATTGTCTCCTGAAGAAATAGAAAAGTGTATCATTTTCTCCTTTATTATATATACTTATCATTTATCAGTTTTTACAGTAGAGATAGTTTATAATAAAGTTTGAATCTTTGAAGGATAACTTCTCAGCTATATGAAAAGTTTCAACACTGTAAAAAGACCTGTTTCTAAAATATTTTAAATAGGCTATTGTGTGTGTGGGGGCGGGGAGAGCAAAATAAGCCATTAAAAAAAAAAAAGCGCAACAAACAACCCCCTTCTTTCCACAAGGACTTTCTCGTATTACTTCAGCTGTCTTATTTCAAGGAGATACACAAAATGGTGATTCTAAGCATTTTACCTTCCACATGACAAGGAAACCAATTTGATGTTGTGAATTAGCATGACTTAATATCTTATTGGAAGTCCTTCCTGCTGACTGCTTGATTCTATTTTAACTTTAAGCCTTCTATATGCAGATCAACATTATTTCCACCAAACAAAGAATAGTCACGATGTGTTTCATTTCCTCCTTAGCACTTGGAATTAGTAATATTTCAAAATGTTTTTTGGAAAATTTAGCTCTGTTTACGTTTGGGTAGGTGCTACTAGTCACACTCAGATGTGGGTTTTTGAGTTCTCTCACTTAAGCTGCAATATAGGACACTATAATTTTGGGCTAAACACTACAGTGGTCTGTCCTTTTAGGGGGGCATTGGGAGAGCACGATATTTCATTTACATTAGTCTTTTTTTTTTTTAAAGGATTTCTATTTATACATACAAGAGCTGGGGTGTAGGCCAGAAGTGTGTGTGGTGGGGGTGGGGTGGGTGAGAGGTTTCACCAGAAACAAAGTAGGGAGCAGAACAGGTGGATTGACTAAAACACTCTGCTGAGGGGAGCAGCAGGTGAGACAGGAGGAGTCTGCTGCACCATGTGGTTTAATTACCTATTGGGGGATATAACTGGTGCTGCAGTGGCTGCAGATAGCTTCCTAGTGCTGAGACTTAACTTCTTGTGCCACCAGGAAGGCCCTATAAGTCTTATCTTTAAAACTGAAGTTAAAATCTATCTGGTTGTTTTCTTATTAGTCAGAGTTTGAATTAAATGAACATTAGATAATGTATTTTTTCTGTTTTAATGAGAATCCTATTGTGAATAATAATAGACATTCTGGAAATCCAGAAGAGAAAAAGGACCTCTTAGCAAAAACAACATATCTGTTTATCATTCTTTTACTATCATGTGATTTTATACTTTAATTAAAAGGGATGCATATAAATGAGTTAAAAATTCAAGGAATTTCCCCCATTTTTACTACTACCATGAGAAAAATGGTGCATGAGAAATCTGTGCTAATATAGTAAATGCTTAGAAGTTCCATTAATTAGTATAGAACATTGAAAAATGATTAACCCAATCATTTTAAAAGTAAACTTTCAAAAGACTATAATAATAATGGCCTGAATTTGAAGAGCCTCCTTTTATGGTTTGCAAGAGGTACTTTTCCATACAGTAGTAATTTCTATCCACTGTGAAGCCCTTTGAGCTAACTGTCATTATCTATTTTTTACAGTTGAGGAATTAAGGTTCAGTGAGATTAAGCAATTGACTTTACCTAGGCCATGTGGCACTTTCTATTTTACCAGTTCCGTGCTCTCCTAACCTCACAGAGCACGTGTGTCGTGAGAAGATAATGTGGCATATAAGAAATCATAGCCAGTATCTCTTTTGAAAATACCTTCCTATGAACTACCTTAGAGGGTTTCTCATATCACAGGTTATTTGTGCCTGCACCAACACGCATGGTTTCAGCAAAAGAGTAAAAGTGGCATAAAAGGGGAAAACATAGATCACTCTGCTGTTTACTTATATTAGGGGTCAACAAACTATGCCCCACAGGTCAAATTCCCCCACTCCTATTTCTGTAAACTGTTTTACTAGAACACAGCCATGCACACTCTGTTTCTGTTTTGTCTGTGACTGCTTTTCCACTACATCAGGAGTCAAGTATTTACAGTGACCAGCAAAGCCTAAAATATTTTACTCTTTGTAAATGCTTTAGAGAAAACATTTTCCAACTTTTCATCTACATAACTACAAAACTTCCTTGAATGATTTTCATGGAAATATTTAATTTACAACTGTATTTACACAACCTCTCAAGCAAAAACTGAAACCAGATCAAACAAACAAAGATTTGGAGTAATTGGATAAGTTTTGTAGAATTGTTAGAAAAAAAAATGGTAGGGCTTTTTTTTTTTTTTTTTCCAACCAGTTTTCTTAAGTAGTAATGGCAGGAGATCTTGGGGCCATCCATAAATTTATTGAGCACTTACTACGTGTAAAATTCTGTAACTCACAAGTATATGAATTGGGGAAAGACAGTGGATCCCACAGTGCCTTCTCTGAGATTAGCTCATTCTGGAAACCTCTTTTGTTACCACTGATAGAGACACTGAAGTTTTATTTCATCTGCAATTTGGTAAATGCTTCTGGTTTCATACAACCCCCCTTACAGAACTGCTTTCTCTCTGAACTTCCATTTCATTCACTTGCTCTTAGCAATGTGCTGTTTTTTTTTGTTTTGTTTTTGTTTTTGTCTTTATAAATGTCAAGATTGATTTTATTCAAGCAACATTTTTTGTTGTTGTTGGAAGAACAGAAAACAAAAAGCACATTTAAGAAAATAGTTGAAAGCCTTTAACTTGACAGCCTAAAGAAAGCAATTCTCAACATTTTGTTGTACATCCTAACAAACATTTTTATAAATAAACTGTCTCTCCATGGGAAAAAGCCCTGATTTGCAGTGTTTGCTGATTTCTAGAATATAAATATTTCTATCCTGGCCTATTTCAGCTACTCATTACTTAATAACTAGTTTACAATTCCTAACTACTGAGCAGTCTCTTGAATTCATATGAACCAGCTCAAGCACTCCACTATTTATGTATGTGTGGTTTGTATATATTTTATTTTTACAAAAATAGAATTTATGTATATATATTCATATTTTGATGTTGTTATTTACTCCCTTCAAATATGGTAAGCATTATTATGGATCAGTAGTATCCCATCAGTTTTAAAGTTTGAATATTTCACTGACTGCATATATTATGGTTTATTTAATCATTGCTTTACTGGGGGACCTTTCAAGTATTCCCAGAATTTTGTTACTACAAATAATGCTATGATTTAAATTCTTCCAGTAGGATTCATTCTGCGTGCATGTTTAGGAAATATTTTTATAAACTGAAGGTACCATATAAATATTGTGTAAAATATTTATTATCCTTCTGTATATGTTTCATTTTTCCATTTAGATAGTGAGCACCTCTCTTCAATGAGGTGTATTCAGCTGCCTTTGCGTCCCCTGCAGCAAGTATGCAGTAAGGTTATGTGTAGGTTGCTCCGTTCCAGAGCCGCGTAGTGCAGTGCATCCACATTCGTCACATATTTGAAAATAAAGCAACGGTCAGTTTATTCTGTCTTCAAGCCCTGGTTGTGGTCAGTGGCCCAACTGTGTGATGCTGTTAGACCTTTACAAGCCTCAGTCACAGAGCCAAGTTTTTCCTCAGAGCAAATTCAGTTGGATCAGTTGGGCATGGATTCATAACCTGAACTTTATTAACATTATTTTCAACTGGCCAAATTGGTCCGACAGTTTTACATATTTTCATAAATATATTGAAGTGTCCATGACTGCACTAGATAAAACACAACAGATAAACCTGTCCCATACACACACATACACACAGTCACAACTATGTACTTTCTTTCTCCCGTGAACAAAGGTAATAGTCACAAAATGTATCCACCTTTTATTCACCAGAGAGACTCCTACATTTCCTCTCTTGCCTCAAGTTTTATTTTATTTGGCAGTACTATAAGGCCATTATAAAAATGCAAGTTTCGGGGGAAATGTCCTTTAGCAATTTTGAAACCTAAGGCCACACACCTCTTATTCCTACGAATGACCTGTTTTCCTCAGTATCTTATAAAAAATTTCAAACCTACAGAAGATAACGTGAATGAATTGTACAATACATACCATCTAGATTCTATACTAAGCATTTTGTGCCACATGTTTATCCACCCCTCTGTCAACTCATTAATGGGTGTGTGTGTGCTTCAGAGGAAATTGCACATACTAGTACTCTCCCTCCCTTCAGTACCCGTATCATTATCCAGTTCTAAAGGGTACTCTTGGTGGTCTAGAAAGGTGGCTGGTTAAGGCACCTTTCCTGGCTTGAAAGGCCATAAATAAGAGACATATCTGCAGGTCTGCAGGCATGATAGGCTTTAGTCATATCCTGTAAGGCTGAAGAGAACAGAAAGCTAGATAACACTGAGGCCTTCAGGGGAGTGTGATGTGATAAGGTACTCTGCAGGGGGGTCTCCCAGCCATGGCTGCTGCTTCACTAATGATTCATGGCTTCTATTGGATGTGGAATAGATATATCATTATTAAATACATTGTAATTCTTTATTAGGTATTAATATATGTACAGCTATAATGTATAGAGATGCCTTATACAAACATACTATCTTAGTTTAATAACAATAGGGCAAAATAGGTATCATCACTACTTTATGAGTGTGGAAAAGGGCTCAAGGGTTAAATGACTTTCCCAGTACTACAGAGCTAGTAAGTATCAGGAAGGAGAATTGAACACATTTCTGTGGCTTTGAGGCTCTTCCCATTCTCTTGGTTTTCTTGTTTCAATGGTGTTTGGTGTCAACTCTCAACTTGCTTCTCACTCAGTTTCCATTGGCCTGTTGTGGGACCTCAAAAGGACCTTATGCTCAGAAAAGTTCCTTGGAGTGGATGATTTTAGAGTGGCTACAGGCCAGAGTTGCCAGTTATGTTTTTGAGAATTAGGTTAAGTAAGTACAAGTAGAGAAAAGTAACTGAGAAAGAACAGAATCTTGCCAGCCTCTGACTATTATGACTTGTTGATTTATTTCCAGGTGTTTTGAAGTCTTCTGCATCTACTTTCAGTCAGGCAGCAGTGAAGAGCCTTATGTCAGTATCACCAAGAAGCGGCAGATACCAAAAAATGGCCTCTCAGAGGAGGTTGAGAAGGAGGTGGGCCAGGCAGAGGGCAAGCTGTTTGCTCATCGGTCGGCATTCAGTCGGGCATCGGTGATCCAGGCTTTCCTGGGCTCAGCCCCCCAGCTGACTCTGCAGCTGTATATAAGCGTCTTGCAGCAGGATGTCACCATCGGAAGATGTATGTATATTTTTATTTCTACTGGCATGTGGTGATCAAAAAGGGAAGCAAAATATAAAGTTTATTTTGTTTTAGAGGCAATGAATTTGTATGTGTATTCAATCCTGAGTCTGTGGTCCAGTTACTAACCTGAAAGAGTTAAAATAATAACATTTATTTTGCTTCTGAATCTACAGTCTGGGCAGAGATCAGAAGGCTCAGATGCTTCACTGGGCATGAGCTGGGGTCCTCACAGAGTGGGCCAGAATCCATTGAAAACCCGTTAATTTACATTTCTTATGGTTGATGTTAGCTACTGCTCAGCCTCAGATCTCCCTCCATTTCATCTCTGTGTGGGCTAGTGTGGACAGCATGGCAACTGTTTTCATGACAAGTGTCCTAAAGTCCAGATAGAGCCACTTGCCTCACCTTTTGTGATCCAGCCTTGAAAGTCTCTTTTGCTGCATGAATCCTGTCAAGGTTTGAGGGAGGGAATCACTACTCCTACTTGGGGAATGGCAGACTTTTGGAAGCTCATTTCTGTGACCATCTTGAAAAATATAGTTTGCCATAAGCTAAAAATCCAGTTGTCAGGCTGAGCCTCTTTGGATTTTGCTTCTGTCATTGCCTCTGGACTTTCTAAATCAGCTAAGACAGTTTGTTATATAACAGCTTCTTTGTGGTGAATGATGGAATCAAGAGTATGTTCCTGTATTCTTGAAGTTCTTGTGGGTATCTCAGTGTTTAATTGAGCACATTTTTCTAACCTTTGGGCTTTACTCACAACATCAAATTGAGGGCAAGTCTTTCTTGTGTAACTCAGATTTTAAATACCTCTGAGTGCATTGGATGCAAGTGAAAAAACCTTCACATGAGAAGAGGAAGTAACTCCACCACAATTTTAATATCAAGGGTAAATCAAAGCCATATGATTTGGTAAGTTTACTATATAGATATGCAAAAATGAGTTAAAAGCCCTAAGTAGAAAGAAAGATATATTTAAGATACACTGAAATTGGAATTCTTTTGTAAAAATCACTAATTAATCCAACTGTTCTCATTATCATTGTTCTGCATGTATTCTATGCTGAATGGTTAAACTGTTTGGCTGGGTTATAAAGCATTTATGGGTCCATTTTACCTCAGAATGGCTATGTATCTTAAGATATCAGGTCCTTACATTGAGGTCTTGAGTCTTTATGGATTAACATGTATGTGAATATATCTCCCACAGCTTCAGGTGGTCCACAGTGCTTACTGGATAGAATGGCACCCTTGTTCTTTAAGGTTTTACAACTGGAATGGGTGTTGACCATCGTGAGTCCTCTGTATGCCTCTGTATACCCTTTTCTCAGTTCTGTTTTTCCAGGAAGCAGGGACACAGCGAGAGACCATAGGTTGATGGCCTATTTGATTTTTATATGTATATCCAAGTTTTTTCCTCAAGTTTTTTATTGTTCAGAAGTTGGGAAATGATAGCCAATGCACCCAGTCAGGTCCTGCAGGCTTTTATGTTCTGGAAGGAAATTCAAAGTGCTATTACAGTGAACACATGAAAGATAAGAAAGTGAAACAGCCCTGCTGATACGGAGAAAGTATTGGTGGTCTGGATAGATGATGCAGCCTACCATAGCATTCCCTTAAATAAGGCCTAATCCATGGCCAGGTCCCTATGCTCTTCAATTGTATGAAAACTGAGAGAGGCAAGGAGACTGTAGAAGAAAATTTTGAAGGCAGCAGAACTTGATTCATAAAGTTTAAGGAAAGAAGTTATCTCCATAACAATAAAAATACAAGGTGAACCAGGTGTGCTGATGGAGAAGCAGGTTATGCAGAAGAGTGAGCTAAGATTATCTCTGCCGGGGGCTGCACTAAACTGTGCAGGTGAAACAGCTTTATATTGGAAGAAGATGCCCTCTGGGGTTTACATAGCTAGAGAGAAATCCATGCCTCGCTTCAAAGCATGAACTGACTCTCCTGTTAGGGGCTAATGAAGCTGGTTACTTGAAGTTGAAGCCAGTCCTTATTCACCATTCTGAAAATCCTAAGACACTTCAATTATGCTAAATACTCTGCCTGTGCACTATAAATGGAACAGCAGAGCCTGGATGATATGATAACACATGTCTTTACAACATGGTTTACTGAATATTTTAAGCCCTCTGGTGAGAACCTACTGCTCAGAAAAATATACTTTTTTTTTTAAAATATTACTGCTTATTGACAATGCACAGGGTTATTCAAGAACTCTAATGGACATGTGCAAGGCAACTCAGGTTGTTTTCATGCCTGTTAGCACATCATCATTCTGCGGCTTATGGGTAAAAGAGTCATTTCAATTTTCATGTTTCTTATTGATTAAATACATCTCCTAAGACTATAAATGTCATGGATAGTGATTCCTTTCATGCATATAAGAAAAGTAAGTTGAATCCTTCTCGAAAGGATTCATGTCTAGATGCCATCAAGAACATTCGTAATTAAAAAAAAAAAAAAAACATTCGTAATCCATGGGGAAAGGTCAAAATGTCGACATTAACAGAAGCTTGGAAGAAGTTGATTCCATCCCTTCTGAATGACTTTGAATTCAAAACTTTAGCAGAGGAAGTTACTACAGATGTGATGGAAATAGCAAAAGAACTGGAATTAGAAATGGAGCCTGAAGATGTGACTCAGTTTCCTGTGATCTCATGATAAATTTGAATGGATAAGAAGTTGTTGTTGAAAGATAAGCAAAGAAAGTAGTTTCTTGAGATGAAATGTACTCCTGGCGAAGACACTGTGAACATTGTTGAAATGACAACATAAGATTTAGAATATTACATAAACTCAGTTTAACAAGCCGTGACTGGCTTTGAGAGGATTGATTCCAATTTTGAAAGAAGTTTTTCTGTGGATGAAATGCTCTCAGATAGCAGTGCGTGCTACAGAGAAATCTTTAATGAAATGAAGACTCAGTTGCTGACTATCAGTCAGCAACCACCGGCATCAAGGCCAGACCCTCTACCAGCAAAATGATTAGGATTAACTGAAGGTTCAGATGATAGTTAGCAGTTTTAGCAAGAAATTATTTTTAATTAAGATATGTGCAGGGGATTTTAAGTCATAATGTTTTTACACACTTAATACTACAGTAGAGTGTAAAACATAGCTTGTATATGTGTTGGAAAACCAAAAAACTCTTGTGATACTCACTTTGTTATAGGGGTCTGGAACCAAACCTGCAACATCTCCATGGTGTGTCTCTATTTCTTCTTTGTTTTTTAATCAGGTGCTCCAAATGATTGTCATCATTATCAAAATTTGAGAACACTAGATTAGACTAATCTTCACCAGCCTAGGGGGGGGCTCCCTTCCACCCAGAACAAAATTGTGTTTTCCTAAGATATAAGAGTAGGAATGGATTTTGAGTAGGCAGCTAACAGTATGTCATGCCATGTAAGGGAAGTTGATACCTCTAGTTAGATGTTATCGACAGGAGGGCATCAAGTCCATTCAAAAATGAAAGTCTATAACCATCTTCCCTCTACTTCTGTGCTTACTGAGCAAACATTGATGACTTTGGCCTTGGAGAGAGAAGGTGGAGCCAGCCATATGGTCCATTGGAGGGATTTTTTTTATTATTATTGAAATATAATTTGTATAATCTAAAACACACTATTTCTAAGTGTACAAATCAATGGATTTTAAGATAGATATTTACAATGTTTTATAATTATCACCACTAAGTTTAGAACATTTTATTGCATTGAAAAGATACTCATGTTTTTTTTAGCAGTCACTTCTCATTTCCCCTCCTCCAGCCTCTGACAATCACCGTCTCTCTGTCTCTATTGATTTGCCCACTGGACATATTTAATATAGATGGAACCATACACTGTTACAGTTCTATTTCTTATAGTCAGTGGATAATGGACTGTGTCTCTGAACTGAAATCTTGGTACGTTTGGCCATCCTGAGACTCCTGGTTCCAATTAGCGTTCGGCACGGCATGAGCAAGTCTCGACTTTGGTGTGGCTGAGGTCCAGGTGAGCAAATCAAGCTTAATATGCCTGTGCTGAGCTTTCTGGACTCCAAACTGCCCTTCTCTTCCTTTTATAGTAGTTATACTGATAGTAATAATGACTGTTTCTCCACCCCTTACTTTGTGGTACACCACTCTGCGTGATAGACACCATTGTGTTTCATTTTCACAGAATCCTTGTGAAGCAAATAAGGCTTCTTCCATCTTACTACAGTGGGAAATTGTACTCACTGTCTGTCAGAGGAGGCAGCATTTGGAGTTAGATTTATGTGAATTCATTCATGAATAGATGAGAAATGAAGGAAAAGCAGGTAAGAATATCCAAGGATCCCAAAGGCCATGGGAAAGCATTAATGAATATTAAGCAGCATAGTGTCGCACTCAGCTTTAGCTTCAGAAACTTACTCTAAAAAGTAGATTTGAGAAAAACAGGGAGGTCAGTTACAGGGCTGCCACAGTTTTCAAGGCGAAAATTATAATGGCTTAGGTTGGAATAGTAGGAATTAACTAATGAAGTAGATGTGGACAGATGAAATTACAGAGTGGGGAGCTGAGCCAGAGGGATATGTCAAAAAGTCATTTTCCCCTTCCTGATATGGGTATCTGTAGTCATGAATCCTCATTTATATTATATAGGGATATTGAAATGAATGTATAAATGAAGTTGAAACTGGTGTTAGTGTGGCACAAGGGGGTGATAATTTTACCTCTGCCGTACAAAACAATATGTATGTCTGTCAGTGACCAGCAGCTTACACAGGATGTGTGATAGCTCAAAGACAGAATGACGCTAAAGTCGGATAACCTAGAGTAGTGTCCTAAAGATGGGGCAGTGTTTCCATTGAAACCTTTGTTTTTTTATAGACTGTTAAAGTAGAAAGCACTCCCTCAGAAAGAGGGTTCAGTCTGTTGACTGAGTTTCAGTCATAGACATTTCTAGCCCAGGCCTGATCAGGTCCTAGTGGACACCAATGACATCATAACAGCTGCATTGTCA